CATGTTGGGTCCTTTCATGTTATATGGAAAGTGGAAATATAACACTTTAGACCCAGGTGTGAACATGTGTGATATTTGAACAGCATTGGAAATATGTGGCAGTGTGCCTACCAGTACACCATTTGGCAGTTGATCCTGGGTGGTATCTGCCATGCCCAAGGCATGTCAACATGAGAAATATGGTGTCTAATCCAAATATAGTACCATACATTGTATGTGCATACAAAATAACAAACAGTCAGCCAGAAAATGACACTGGTAATTATCTTGGTAGTATGTCTGAAGATATAGAAATCCTTGGACTTATGATCAGAGAGCATGACCATTGATAGTAGGCATTACTAGAATACCCAGGAAAGGCCCATGTGCAAGTCTTAGTATGCAGTCTGTTTTAGGGACAAGGCATTGAAAACCCTTTTTTTTTTACAAGAAATTCCATAGATATGGTCTTTGAATAGGATAGGCAGCAGGAATTCTTATCACTCCTGGGCTTTGTTATCTTTATTCTAGATCCTTTTAATGGACTTCATTTGGGGTTCACAATGCTTTCTGACCAGATTTCAGTGATCTTTTTTTCCCACATTGTTATTCTTTGTGGCACCTATTGGTGTATGTTCTGACTGGACTATTACCAAGTTTGTAGTGCTCTCCTTAGACCCCTTGTGACCAGATGCTTTGAAATATATTACTGGGGTTCTATTAGCTCAGACTATGTTATCTATTGATATATTATCCCAGCTGGCAGGCAATCTATGAGTGACTAGTGTTCATCTTGGAAAGTGGTGTACTGAGTCTTCTACTATTTTGTAGGATTCTATGAAGTATTTTATGTAGCTAAAAGGCTGTGCATGAATGCACAAAAGGAGCATCCCTATGAGCAAGTCCAAACATTTATCTCATCTACCACTTGCTTCTGTACTCTTATGCCAGTGTACCTTCAATTCATCAGTGATAAATCCTGCCCATGACTCTATCAGTCTTGATGTCACTTACTATGGTGATACATTGCTTCACATTGTACTACATGAGCCCATTACTATTGACTCAGGAGCTGAGCTCCAATCCAGTAACATACCTTAGTATGGCTTTGTACTACTGGTCAGTGTCTGGTAACTGTTCACTTATGGTGAGAGCAAACTGCACATTCTTTGGTTGTATTCCTTGTATAACACATCAATTCTTGACAGGCCTTTTTCAGAATTCCTTACTGGTATACTTCTCCTCTGTATATTGGTTCCATCCTCCACTGTTGATTGGTTTGGACTTGGGGAAGTACTGTTAACAATCTACTGAAAGACATCCTTTGGTATCAGAATTTCTCTGATCAAGGGCTAATACTTGTACAACAGCACTGACAGCCAGTCCCAACTGAGTAGTGGTTACTGTAGTCAACCCCCCAGATTCCCCTTCCTTGAGTTCTAGTTGATCTAGAGGATCTCCTTACTTCTTTGCAACATTCCCAAGCTATTTGCTCTATGTTACTATCAATACAAACCAGTAACACTGCTCAGTAACACTGCTCATTAGTATTCAGATCATATTGATAAGCAACTTGGCAATTTACCAAGTAAGAAACAGATCCATAATGTCTGTTGCTCATGATTGCAAGCTATGATCCTCATATTACAACAACCTAATAAATTAGCAGGCTACTCTGAAGTGCAAAATGTGGAAGATATGTCAGTACTCTATGCATAGACAATATACTAGCAGTCTTGCCAACCATGACTTCTGATGCGGGCAGCATGAAGTTGTTCATAAATTGACATATCTCCTACAAAAGGGATCGTACTGCCAGCTATGGCCCTCTCCCCAGCAAGTTGGATTACCCATGGCTAAGTAATATCTGATCCATGTCTTAACCATAGATTAGTCATGTTTAGCTATGACTTAGGCAAGAACTTAACAGGTAAATTAGGCTAAACAAAGTGGGTAGACTTTCAATCTGATCCACTGCTAAGCCACTGCTTAGCTACTGGATTAGCTTTGAGAAGATCAACAATTGCTAATCTTGGCTTGCTTAATGGGAGATAAGAAGCTGTGTCTAAGCCACTGGATTACATAGTTTGTGCTGAGGCCATTGCATGATGCATGATGCCCAGAGGGGAGTCAGCTGCATAGGCCTCTCAAGATACCAGACCAGAAGCAATGGATGGCCCAGAAACTATTGCCCTCAGCCATACCCCTGGCATCACTTTCCTTATCCAGGACCTCAGCTCTGCACCTGTGCTTGTTGCCCCTGCCATCAAGGCCCCTCCTGTGCTTGTTGCTCCTGTGCTCATTCCTCCTGCGCTCCTCAGGGGCCCCCCAAATGCTGTTCCCATGATTGGCAGGCCCAGGCTTGCTGTTCCTGGGCCTGCTGCTCTCCCTCCCCCAAGGACTTGATGGCAGGCTGTCAAGGCGGACCCCAACCTCCTTGGTCAACTGGCTGCTATCAACATCCACTCCTCCAACCTCTATGTTGTTGCAAGATTAACCGTGCAGAAATGTATGGAGTATAAACATCTCCTTGTTCGGGTCTTGGCATGTTTCATCACATCCTTCTCACACTGGAGGTCACTACCCATTGTAAGTCTCCATCCCTAAAGTTAATTTACTTGAAGATATTGATTGTGTCCCATCTCACTGCAGGAAGATCACCATCAGTGATCACACTTATACAGGAAATCTGCCCACAATGAGTCAGAACTCAATAGCAGTGCAAAGCTCAGCAGCAGTCTGATTGTCACTGACATCTTCATCATCAAGCTGCTCAGGGACCTCTCTCTGATCAGGGGTTGGGAACGTCATGCAGGCCAAGTCAGGGTCACCATTCATGCACAATATCTACAAAGTTGCCTCCAATGACAACTCTGCAGGTAAGTACTAACTCCAGCCTGATGTGATACAAAAATGCTCAATATTCCTCACTGGCAAGCCTGAGCTGCTAGGGAGGTGGGACAATCCCGTAGTGTCATAGATCATCACTATATATGGTGAAGTCACATTGAACTCCACTGTCAGAGTGATGCATTAAAATGTTTTGCCACTATCCATTGGCTGCAGTGCACCTCAGAGCGGATTCCAAAGGCCTAAGTCGAGCTCTGTAAAGTCTTAGGGACTTAGAGCTCAACGAGGCGGACTGTCTACGGTGTGCGTTACGTAAGGTGACCATAACTGTACAGTAGAAACAGCCACAAAGTCGAAATCAACGAAGGAGTGAAAAATCGGATGAGTGCAGCCTGCGGGTGCAAATCCCTGAAGATGCCAACATTATGGAATGGGGAGAGTAGGAGCAAAACCAGTGGCGGTGAGGTGTCATGTGTGCAGAAGCATCTGTGTCGGTGTTCCAGTTAGCTGCTGCAGGCGTAGAAAGCCAGGAGGCGCGATCCGAGGTAGATAGGAGGGCAGAGGCGCAACCAGCACTCACAGTGGCCACTCCAGCGGACTCCTGGGACACATCCTGCACATCCTGGACGGTTTTCAACGCTTCCTTCGCCTCCCTCGTCTTGTCCTTGCCCTTTCCAGAGCGAACCTGCGTGCGCTGCGACACCTTCTCCTTCGCTTTGACACTAGCATCGCGTTTGGAGAAGCACTGCTCCTCGGAGTGGCCAGAGCGACCGCAGAAAGCGCAGATGATGGCAGCAGCAACCTGGGAGAGGACAGGGATTGTTGATAATGCACCAGGCTGATTTTCTGGGGCAACAAACTTGTCCTGGAGCTTCTCAAGCATGAGGGCGTCGTCCAGCAAGAGGGTCTGGCGAAGAGAGGCGAATTCGGCGGGCAGGGCGCGGATTAAAGCCATCAGGACGAGCTCATTGTTGAGTTTCGCGATGTTGAAGTCCTGGGGACAAAGGGCTTTCATATCGGACTTGAGCTGCAAAGCTCGCGTCGAAAGCATTGACAGGGACTCGTCCTCGGCCCTTGAGAGGCTCAGGAGCGCGTTGTAGGTGTTAAAACATGTACCAGGTCGTTTCTGCATGTGCACAGACTCCAGCTTCACCCACATCGTCTCAGGATCGTCTCTAATTGCCTCCAGATGTGTCTGCTGCTCCCTCTCCACACACCCCCAGGGAGACCCAGCTGCCAGATCCCTCCTGTTCTCGAAATTGCGCATATCTCGGTGTTCTGAGGCGTCCAGGGGCTGTGTGAACGAAGGCCTTGTCTCTGAGCCCTTCACAATGCGAAGAGCTGCAAGAGTGCGAAGTCTGGCCTCCATGTCAAGCCTCCATTGCTGGTAGTTGTGATTCGTGAGATTGGGAAGGAAGCAGGGGACGGCGCCATGATGACGACTCGAAGGGCGACGTGCGGATGGATGGATCGAGCGAAAAACAGGGTAAAACTGCGCAGAGACGAGCAAGATATTGACCAAAGATCGAATAGGGGCGAAGACAGGGGCTTCAAAGTGCAGGAAGGCTGAAGGAGCGAAGGGGTCCCGGACACATTGGGAGGGCCACAGAGCGTTTGGACAGGCAGATATGGATGTCTGGAGGCCTTCAGAGCACGGGGCTCATAACCTGTTGGCTGCAGTGCGCCTCAGAGCGATTTCAAAGGCCTAAGTCGAGCTCTGTAAAGTCTTAGGCCCTGTACGGCAACAGAATCGGACTGGGACTGACCCAGCCTGACCGTCCCTGAGCATAACACCGAGGTGGCTGACCAGTGTGACACTCTGTGACTAGAGTGACTCAGCCACTTCCCAATGCGGACGAACATTGTGGCTTGCCAGCACACTGCCTCTGTGACGACCTCCCCTCACTCGTACACTATGGCTAAGACCAAGGACGCACAGTGGCGCGATCAAGATACCCACGCGCTCATCATCTATCTCATTGAGCACAAGGTTGAGGCGGGAGATGGCGGAAATTTCCCAGCCTCCGTCTTCAGTGGTGCTGTTGAGACCGTTCAAAAGGCAACGACAGCTGGGACCGAGAAGACCTGGTCACTGGGTCCTGCCAGACCAAGTGGAAACGTGTGAGTTCGTGTCACTGCATGAGGAATGCAGTAACACTAATCCCTTCTAGCTTCATGAGACATTCAAGGTGGTCGACAAGTTGATGAGTCAATTGGGCTTCCACTGGGACACGAAGTCGGGCACAACTATCAACGAACGGTCCGAGCCTACGTGGCAGGCATACATAAAGGTACTCCCACAACTTATCTGCCTAGTTGTTAGGCTGACAATGTGTTCAAGAAAAACCCTGCGGCTGCAGCATTCCGCAACAAGGGTTGGGATTACTACGACCTTGTGGTGCAAATTATGCCATCAACAGCGAAGGGCACCCACGCCTTCCACCCATCCACCCAGGCCACAGGCCCCGCATCAGATACAGACAATGTGGATGCTGAGGTCCGTCCTCAGATGGGCGAGGACTCAGAGCCGGCAGCTTCTGCGAGTGCATCGTGTTCCGAGTCAAGGTCCAGATCACTGAGCCCAGTGCGTGGGGACGAAGCAGGTAATGATGCAGGTATGGGTGCTCCTGTTGAACCTGTTACGCTGCCTCGTGCTGTTCCTGCAAAGTGCCCGGGTTCTGCTGCTGCTTCCGAACCAAAGCGTGCCCATGCATTGGGTTCCGTGCTGTCGGATTTGGCAGGCTTAGGTGTCCAATTGACCAGCTTCAACGACATTCAACGACATTTTTTGTGACGGAGTATTGGCTCTCACTCCTGGCAATGGTATCCCGCCTACGCCTGCTCGTAGGGGTAGGGCGATCAAGTGTGTGCAGAAGGAGCCGAACCTCGACAAGGATCAGAAGGTCAGGATGGTGGAGATCTTTGAGAAGGATAGCAACACTGCAGATACATACTTAGAGCTTGACTTGGATGAAGTGCGGGAGGCATGGTTGGAGAGGAAGCTTAACGTAGACCGTGGCCTATTCTAGCTCCACATACAGATTCTCATGTGCCTCTAGGTTGTCCTGCTCCTGTAACAACCATTGGTAGTCTTGCCACATCTCCTCCGCAATCACATCTCGCACAGCATCTGCTTCTCCTTGCTCACAATGTGTGGGCAGAGCGGCCCTGAGCTCACCAAACCACTGCCCCTCCAGGATATTGTCAAACTCTGCAATCTCGTCTGGATTGTGCTCCCAGATGAAGTTGTGAACCGCTGCCAATGCTGGTGGGATGCGTGCTTGAATGTCCATGTCATACCCGGGTGCAATGACAAGGATCTTGAAGCAGCGTTTGAGAACCCCGAAAATCCTCTCGATGACATTGTGGAGGCAAGCATGCCGCAAATTGAAGAGCTCCTCTTTGTTTGCGGGCCTGGAAACCAATGTGAGCAAAGACAAGAAATTACAACTTTGCAACTTGCCTGAGATCTGCCCTTCTCCATTCCGCCAGATGATACCGAGCACCACGATATGGAACAAGCAGATCCGCACATGATGGCAAGCCTTCATCTGCAACATAATACTTGCTGGGGAGCTTGCGTAGACTGCCATTTCGTGCCTCATGGAACAATCCCGTGTCAGTGATTGAACCCTCCCACACGCTGAGCATATACAAGAAGCAGAAGTCGAAAGAGCAACATGCAAGGACATTTTCAATGATCCCGCCCTTCCAGTTATGTGCGTTGTGACGATCCTGCGCTGAAACTGTGGCGTGGATCTGAATCCCATCCATTGCACCAACAGCATTTCGGAACCAGGGAAAGAAACGAGGGTCGTTGCGAATGCGGGTGGGAACAGGGTTGTTAGCTGAAGGAAGACGGACCCATTTATTGTATGTAGAACGCAGGTGAGGAGAAGAACATGAGCATTCACCGGAAGTATCTGCACTAATAATCAGCACATCTCTAGATTATGTGTGGCAAACTCACAGAGATACAAACTCACAGAGATAGGGTCTCATTTGACCGCTGGAACTGCTCCCCGATATGCCAAATAGACAAGCCTGTGAAGCATCACATATCGTGAATTGGTGAACCCATTGGCCTTCAACTCGTCTATGAGTGCGTAGAAGACGGTGATGAACACCTAGTTTGGAGTAGATACACTGAGTGTGACTGAGAAGCAGCTCAAGAACCCATGCCTCTCCCGTGAGAATGGAAGTGTGCCATGGTTCTCGATGGAGATAGGGTTCGACAGCAGTGATGATGGCAATGAGGATGGTTTGAATGAAAACGGCAGCACGGAGTATGAGTACGGAGTACAAGTATGAGGCGGCGGCGGCGTAGATCGTCATCCACAGGAGGCAGCATGGTGCTTCAAGCCTGTTGTGGCAAACGTACACCGCAGAGCGCAGTGTACGGCGTCGTTAACAGTGCACGCGGGCATGACATCCACATATGGGCGGCGTGTGTTTGTCTTTGTTTACAAGACCCGCTCGCTCAGAGTCAGGCTGGGTCAGTCCCAGTCTGACTCTGTTGCCGAACGGGGCCTTAGGGACTTAGAGCTCAACGAGGCGGACTGTCTACGGTGTGCGTTACGTAAGGTGACCATAACTGTACAGTAGAAACAGCCACAAAGTCGAAATCAACGAAGGAGTGAAAAATCGGATGAGTGCAGCCTGCGGGTGCAAATCCCTGAAGATGCCAACATTATGGAAAATGGTAGACTGAAGGGAATGACGTCGGAAAAAGTACAGTATGCACGGTATAGTGATGGCGTCCATGTACAATAAAGGAGAACACACCAGGACACATTCCATGACTTGGACAGGGCAATGGAGCTCAGAATAATTCGCAGAAATGCGGAATAAATTCCGAGCTCAACATGAAGAAGCTGCTGCGCTCATACACAAATGAAGACCTCTACGTCATTAAGCCAGCCTGTAGGATTTCAAACACAGCTGGCCATGCACCAAATGTTTACGCCAACGGAGTATTGACACTGGGCAAGCCAATGAGCGGTTGGATAGATAATCACACATTTACTAGATCAAAACACCAGGACTTTACAGAGCTGTCATATGAGTCGGACATGGATTATCCACATCTCCAGATGCAGAGCATGATGATTCGGATACCATGATTGGGATGGATTCTGGGGAGGACTATGTACATGCTATGTAATATCATTGGGGACGAGGATCTGTGAACAGATGGCCTGAGCAAGCAGTGAAGATAGATCACTTATGATGCCGGGCAGTCAGGGCTACCACCTTAGACATGGGCAGCGCGGAATCACCAGTGATCCTGTCCTGCATACTGTACAACTGTTGAAGTGGCAGCAGTTCAGATGGCGCACCAGCAGGGTGCAAGTATATGTTGGGTAGTAGTGCTGACAACGAGGGCAAGATTGAGCCCGCAGCAGTGAGATGCGGTGAGTCTGACTCGGAGCCACACCCAGTATGTATAGACTGTGTTCGAGAGGACAGGTTGGGTCTAGCTCTACTACATGACATGACATGGAGTCTACGATGTACCATCTGAGCTTCTAGCCTGCATGTGACAGCCCAGGGGTACTGCGACTCGGAGTGCCATCAGAATGTGATATTGTTCTCCAGAACATTGGCAGCGGTCAAGGCCACTGGAAGTAACTGTCATCGGATGGAACACTGCTATCTGTGGCCTGCATGATTGTGAGCAACGATGTGATCACATTACTGATTTTTCAAGGGAGCAAGAAAGTCACAACTCACCTGTACGGTCACTCTAGATCCCTGCCCCAGTTGTTGTGGTCGAGGTCTGGGTCAAGAGTTGGGAGACATGATGACCTGCAGTGACCCTGGTACATTGGTCTCCAACTCCGACTCCTTGTTCATCTGCTCAGGCTCAGGCACATGTCTATGGCTCTTCTGCACATTTGTGAGGTGCCGCTGACGCTTGTCATTGTCAATCCTGCGCAGAATCTGCAAGACTTCCTTGCTGCAGGTCTTTGCTAGAATCCAGGGCGGCTCAGTGATCTTCAACTCGATATCGTGCACCGACTGTATCTCCCTCAAGTTTTGACCACGTTAACATTTTGACATGATCATCTCTGAGAATTGCACGCGGGCTGATGGGCGCACCGCAGTACTTTGTCAGAGCATGTTGCCGATGTTGAGCTCGGAATTTATTCCGCATTTCTGCGAATTATTCTGAGCTCCATTGCCCTGTCCAAGTCATGGAATGTGTCCTGGTGTGTTCTCCTTTATTGTACATGGACGCCATCACTATACCGTGCATACTGTACTTTTTCCGACGTCATTCCCTTCAGTCTACCATTTTCCATAATGTTGGCATCTTCAGGGATTTGAACCCGCAGGCTGCACTCATCCGATTTTTCACTCCTTTGTTGATTTCGACTTTGTGGCTGTTTCTACGTACAGTTATGGTCACCTTATGTAATGCACACCGTGGACAGTCCGCCTCGTTGAGCTCTAAGTCCCTCAGACTTTACAGAGCTCGACTTAGGCCTTTGTAATCCGCTCTGAGGCGCACTGCAGCCAACAGCAAGATGCTGCGAGACCGAACTGGATCACAGGCTGGATGTCCAGTATGTCTGCACCCTTTGTAACGTCAGACCCAGATACAAGAGCATCTAGAATTGGTCTCACCATTCCAGTAGCCTCTGTCGAGACAAGAATACAGATCTTGCTTGATATAAACTCCTCCATGACATGCTGACGCACTTTCTGCCTGCGATTGGCATGCAGGAACCCTATTGCGCTGTGGAACTGCTCTCTGAATCACTCATGAAGGTGGTGCCAGACACACTGGGTCATCTGGCGAGTATTCACAAACATGAGAGTCTTTGGTATGTCAGAGGGTGCAGCGTCAGTTGGTACTTCAATGATAGAGTCGAGGGCACTGTAGTCCTCGGAATTCTTCATTCTGACAATTCTTTGCTGGACATTAGGTCGATCGTTCCCAAGATTAAGGTGGAAGGATTTCTCCGGGTCAATCTCCATGCTTCTCTCTGCCTCCTCGAGTGCATCTAGTGTGCACGGACTTGGCTCATTTTGCTGTATGACGGGCGAAAATCACCGCCCCACTGCGAGATACAGTGAGCCTCATCAACGATGAGTGCGCTGATTCCCTTCGATAGGCTCGGTAAGAACATTGTTGCACTCCGCATGTTTCATATACATTTTGGGTGACGTGAAGATTGCTCAATACTTGTTTGTGCATATATTCTATGTACATGTGAGCTGAATTATTATCTCAATAATACACGGCACTTATACAAGCCATTGCAGAGTCCCATGTGTCGCCATTCACGGCAACCGCAGGCAGGTTCATCTTACGGAACTGACGTGCCTGGCACATTGGTGAGTGCTTATTGCTATGGTGCGCATCGAGTCACTCACCTGATCTCTCTGCAGATTCTTTAATGGTGACATGACAGCCACCATCTTCTTCATGTTCTTGGGCAAGAACATGGGCAACATGAACGGGATTGTCTTCCCTCTTCCTGTGCCAGCAATGGCAGTACAGTTGAGCCCAAGAAGAAGAGCCTCAGCAATGTCAAGCTGCCACTTATAAGGCCTATTTCCCCTGCTATTCAGGAAGAACTCATCACTCATAATTTGTTGAGCGCGCTCTGAGTTGTAGCCGTATGTTCGTGTTACCAAGTCCTGAGCAGCTGCCAAGTTGTCGTAAGATCATTGGTATCTTTTGTCATGAGCCCTGACTCTTTGAAGACGAAGATCATCTGGGAGCATGGCTACTTTTTACAGTAAGTTATTGCTGATTGAGAGCACAGTGATTTCTCACGACACACTGCAACACAACACGACGAGCGGACGAGCGCAAATCAAGATGGTAATCTGAGTATCTAAGATAGTCTACACGTGCCAGGTACCACGAAGTTGATGTGACCATTACGGGGCGGGCACTTCAAGGGCGCCTAATGGAGGGGGTGTGCTGCTTGAAGTACCCCAGATCTGTTTTCAGTGCGGTGGTGGGGTGTGACTGCCCAAACTGGATGGGTACAAGACAAGCACGGTTGCACCTCCGAACGGCATCTGGGCGCTTAATGGGCGCTTAGTAAGCGATGTAAGTGCGGACTGTGACTGTGCTTAAGAGAGCTTGTATAGGCTCAGAAAAAAGCGGACAATTCAGCCAATATTTAAAATGATCCAGGCAATGTGAATGAAGCTGTATATTGCATGGGTTTGACATCAGATCAGATAGCATTCTCAATAACCTGGTAATATGGTTGCTGTGGCCCCAGTGAGCTTATATAAGCCTGCTAGTACTTCACTCTTGGAACTGCTCATGTTCTGGACAACCCTACTTGCTGGGGAGAGGGCCATAGCTGGCAGTACAATCCCTTTTGTTGGATGCATGTCAGTTTGAGTAACTTATTGCATGTTCATATGAGACTCTCTGTTGAGAACACAGACCTTATGAATCTGTTTCTTACTTGGTGAATTGCCAAGTTAATTACCAATATTACCAGAATACTAATGAATAGTATTACTAGTTTGTGTTGATATCAACAAAGAGATAATATCTTGGAAATGTTGCAAAGAAGTATGCCTCTGGATCACTAGAACTCAAAGAAGGGGAATCTGGGAGGTCTACAGTAACAACTACTCAGCTGGGACTTGCTGTTGTACAAGTATGAGCCCTTGATCAGAGAGAAGCTTTTGATACAGAAGGATGTCTTTCAATAGATTGTTAACAGTACTTCCACAAGTACAAACCAATCAACAGTAGACAGAGAAGTATACCAGTAAGAAATTCTGAAAAAAGGCCCTTCCAGAATTGTCATGTTATACAAGGAATACAACCAAAGACTGTCCAGTTTGCTGTCACCATTTGTACACTGAAGTGAACAGTTACCAGGCACTGACCAGTAGTGCAAAGCCATACTAAGGTATGTTACTGGATTGGAGCTCAGCCAATAGCAATGGGCTAATGTATGATATGAATCAATGAACCACCATGGTGAGTGCCATCAAGACTGATAGAGTCATGGGTGGCAGGATTGATCACTGATGAATTGAAGGTACATAAGAGTACAGAAACAAGTGGTAGATGAGATAAATGTTTGGACTTGCTCTTAGGGATGCTCGTTTTGAGCATTTCCCAAGTGTGCTCCCTCTTAGCTACATAAAATACTTCATAGAATCCAAATAGTGGAAGACTCAGTACACCACTTTCCCAGGCCATCCAAGATGCACAATAAGGCGAAAAAAGGTAGGAAAAAAGCAAGGCAAGGGTATGTGTGTTAATGATTGCCACTGATCATCAAGCATGTGCTCTGTGAAACATGAGGGACCACATGGATGATAACCTGAAACACTAGCCTCTCCTGGGTATTCTAGTAATGCCTAGTATCAATGGTCATGCACTCTGGTCATAAGTCAAGGGATTTCTATATCTCTAGACACACTCCCAAGGTAATTAATTACCAGTGTCATTTTATGGCTGACTGTGTGTGCACATACAATGGTACTATAGTTGGATTAGACACCATATGTTGATATTGACATTCCTCTGGCATGGCAGATACCATCCAGGATCAACTGCCAAATTGGGTGCTAGTAGGCACACTGCCACATACTCATAGTTCCAAAGCTGTTCATATATCAAACATGTTCACACCCTGGTCTAAAGTGCTATTTTTCCACTTCCCATATAACATGAAATGATTGAGCATGAGTAGCTGACATTTTATAATCACATGTAAAAGGAAACAGTTGCAGCAAATGAGAGTACTCCTGAAGTCATATTACTGACTAGAGAGCTATAAAAGGACAGCCTTATATTGGCTCAGAAGTCCATTGTAGTATGGCCTCTTCACTGTTGCTTAGTAAGCAATGCAAGTCTGCATTATTTCCAGAGCAACCATGACTTCTTCTGAGCGCAATCAGAAAGAAAGCTGCCTTTTCTATCCCCACATACCAAGGGCCATTGCATGAGAATAGGATGATGGTAGTGCATACAGAGGTTAGATATGTTCCAGGCAAAAACAATCTGAGGGACTGACAACCAAGCATAGCACCATCATACTATATAAATGGCACTGCTTCATATTGACAAGATTAGTCAAAGACATGCTTATACTGGACTGCTACAATAGAGCTGCTGACATCAGGCTATGTGCATCCGCATTAGCACATGTGAGATGTACTGTCTTGCATTGGCCTACAACAGTCAGCACAATGTGAAGTCATGGGATTGTCTGATTTTATCTTATTTCCTACCATTTATCTAGCATTGCAGAGACCATCAGACTTTGATATACTATGTGTGGTAGTGTGGTGGCCCCACCTTATGACATTGCTAGCCTATATCTGTTGGTGCAAGTTGTGTCGTCTGGGAGTCTGAAAATTCAGGCTCAGATAAGCAACCCATACTAACAGTTACTTATCTCTGCTTATTGGGGTGGCTGCAAGTCACGTGCACTGTGGGAACAAACTGCCATTCCGGAGGAATCACTAAGGTGTTTCATGGTGGTCCATCATAAGAACAATACCTTCGTACCTCAGGGATTGTAACACCCAGTGCATGCTCTGGCTCATCCACTGTCATTGGTGCATCATCCGCACTGCTGCTGTTGGCTGCACAATGCCAGTGGGCTGGCAGTGGCTGAAACTGGAGCCATTTGCTGTGACACTATGGTGCGCTCAAGCCCTCACTATTGCCGCTGCCATGGTCAGGCAGCACAAGGAATGCAAGCAGCTTTGCACTGCCACATGTATCCACCTGAAGCAGTCATATCTGGTTTTCATTTTGTTGAAGGCCCCCTCGAGCTGTGCATCCATGACTGGCTGTGCAATGGGCCTAATCCCCTTCTCATTCAAGGGACACTCTGCACAAACCACTCCAAACCTGGCATCTATGTCCCATACCTGCCCAGTCCTAGGCTGCAATTGTCAGCACATACACTGAAATGGAACAGACAGCATACCTCAGGAGGCCATAGGAACAGTGCATCACCCAAATGTGTCTCCATGACATTGCCAGGACAGCAGTATGTCACCATCAGCCATACTATGTGAGGGTATGGATTCCAGACTGGCTCACCACTGACACTGTGCACTGCCCACCATTGGGATACCACTATCATCAGGAAAAACCCCTTGTGTCCGCAAGTGGTTGAGCTTTTGCAAAAGTAGTGCTTGCAACGGAAAAGCAGTCACAGAGCACTTGCAAGCAGTTTGACCAATTTTGCATGCGCAAAAGCACTCCTGAGCACTGCTAGTAAGGTAGCAACCCGTCAGACCGACCAATTTATCACTTGAGAGAAGTGCTAATTATTCAGTGCAATTCAAAGTCTGGAGCGCATCCTGGGTCAAGGCCCCACAACACAATTATTTTCCCACTATGACTGCCAGGGCAATTCACAGACAACATCACATTCAAATTTTACATGTAGGACTCGGAGTACAATTACTTGCTGGGGAGAGGGCCATAGCTGGCAGTACAATCCCTTTGGTAGGATACATGTCAATTTATGAACAACTTCATGCTGCCCACATCAGAAGTCATGCTTGGCAAGACTGCTAGTATATTGTGTATGCATAGAGTACTGACATATCTTCCACATTTTGCACTTCAGAGTAGCCTGCTAATTTATTAGGTTGTTGTAATATGAGGATCATAGCTTGCAATCATGAGCAACAGACATTATGGATCTGTTTCTTACTTGGTAGATTGCCAAGTTGCTTATCAATATGATCTGAATACTAATGAGCAGTGTTACTGGTTTGTATTGATAGTAACATAGAGCAAATAGCTTGGGAATGTTGCAAAGAAGTAAGGAGATCCTCTAGATCAACTAGAACTCAGGGAAATCTGGGGGGTTGACTACAGTAACCACTACTCAGTTGGGACTTGCTGTCAGTGCTGTTGTACAAGTATTAACCCTTGATCAGAGACATTCTGATACCAAAGGATGTCTTTCAGTAGATTGTTAACAGTACTTCCCCAAGTACAAACCAATCAACAGTGGAGGATGGAACCAATATACAGAGGAGAA